CCCAGTTTCCAGTCTATACTGAAGACTGAAAGTAAGCCTGAAGTCTGATGCAGGTTGTAGCTACTGCTATTCAAGTAGAATCAAGAGGTCCTATCACTTGATTATCTCAGTATAGATATTTTTAAGTAGGGGTAATATGTACTCAACTCTTCAGCTACGTATGTTTTCCTGATAAGACATCTGTCCAGAGAGCACCACTTTGAAAACTGGATTAGGGGTCTGTTCAAATGACATCCTCTTTGTTTATAAATCTGTGTTGTCACTTAAAGTATTTTTACTGATTATACCTCCTTCTAACTTAAATTATATTGCAGTCTTTTGTGATCTGTGAGTATTGCATTAGTTTTTACTTCTACTTGAATTTAATGTAGTTTTTTTTTTTTTCTTGTAAGCCTCTGGAAATACTCTTTTAGTTCATTTCATGCTTACTCCTTAAGATTGAAAAGAAACCTCAATTATCACCCAAGGAAACGATCCTCTTGGCCACCATATTGAGTTAGGAGATTTGAACTCAGGACTTTTTTTTCCCTTGCTCATTCCACAAATCTGAGCAGTCTTTTAGTCTTTCCTGGCCTTTGCAAACTCTACACTATTTTTAAGGTGTGATTAAGATTTTTTTCTGAATTTTATCTGCTACTACAGTGATTTATTTGGTACAGTTGACCAATATTTCAAACTGTTATATGTTTTTATTAATGATTTTCCTATCAATATCTAAATACTTCCAAAAAGTCCATACATATGATGAATGAGATCTGTTTTTAAATCATATATAAGTCATTATATTGAAAACATTATTTGGACTGCAGATTTTATTCACACTGTAAATTATATGGATTTTTAACAGGGGCTCTACATATGTTACATACCGGCCTAGCTTGAAAAGACAAGTTGCTATTTGTGGAAGGAGATGGAGCTTTTTGTCAGTGGTCATCCTTTTTTGGGGATGAGGATATATTTCTCATTTGCTCTCTAGGCCTAGCTACCTTGAAGTGTTAATACACCATCTATTTGCAAATGAGTTGAAAAGGAAAGAGGGAATTTTTAGAGGTTAACCAAAACCAAAATAAAGACTAGAAAGAGATGAAGAAGCATAACCACTGATGACCCTGTCGTCACATTTTTTTATAGTAAATTATTCTACAGAATCTTTGTCATGCAATCTTCTTAAATGTGATTTAAACATTACTGATTTCATATTGTCTACAGCTGAGCCATTAATTTGTTTAGGATCTAGAAGAATTGCACTCATTAAACACACGCCGTAGTCAAAATGCATCCATACAAAGTACTTGGACTTCTCCCTCCATCCAGCTACCAAAGATATCACAAAGATATTTAGAACACTGACCTTTCAGTTGTCAATATTTTGAGGTGCGTGATGAGTAAATGGAAGAACCTTACATCTAGTAGAACTGTCAAGACGAGTTTATCTTTTTTGTCCCTTGCCACCCCCCACCCCAAAGCAAACTATTTCAGAATCCATTATAGAGGAAATAAACAGTTGATTTTAGGTTAAGGATGAGCCTAGCAACCATTTGCACTATATTGATGTCAAAAGTATCTCTCTGCCAAGTTCTAAAATGCATCTTCAAAAACTACTGAAAATATCTAAGAACTTTAGTGATGAGCTACAAATGGACTTTGGTATTGATAAATAAAAGTCAATATGTATAGTGAAAGGACAACTTACTGTGATAAATGGGCCCACCCTCAGTAAAGATCAAATTATTGACTATCTAGGGCTAGGAAAAACCTGTCTATAACTAACCTCTACAGGTGAGAAGAATTAGCCACAATACCAATTCAGAAAAGTCAAAGAAAATTCATTAAAAATACACACAAAAGTAGGCAGCAACATTCTATTAACAAATATATTTGTGGCACTAGGCTAACATATTTCTTTGGTCATACCCAGCCAGGTTCATAACTTTTTCTTTTACCTGAATGAGCTCCCATTCGGCTAGCCATTTTTCCTCTCATGAAGATCTAATTCAAATTTCACTTCCAAAATACCTTCTTGCAGGGAAATTACCCTGTATTCCTAAAAATAATGTCACTCTTGAAATATTCCCTTTAATGCTTCTACTAGTTACTTTTAATTATACCTTAACTAGATCACAAGTTGTATGAGGGCACATAAAAAGTGCCTTCATTTTTTTTACCCCTCACATTGTCCAGCAAGGAGCTCTATCCATAATAAGCACTAAATCAATATTCGTTGATGTCATCGTTTTAGAAATGATTCATTAGAGAAGCCTTGGTCACACATCATGTCAAAGTTTAATGATGAAACATCACAGGAAACACCCAAAAGAACAATTGCAAAGATTAGCCTCTCAAAAAAAAAAGTAGAATAGCAATAATTAACCTTTCCAATGCCTGTTCTTCCCAGTTGACAAAATGTAGGTGTTTCTTTTGCAATAAATTTAACTGGATACTCTATAAACTACCCAGTAAAAATGGCAAATCTTATACCATCTCAAATTTGAAAGCTAAAGTGTAATTAAGGAAAATATCTAAAGAATAGCCCTCTCCACTCTCCTACCCCCACACAAACCACAGCCTTCAACATCAGTGGTGAAGACAAAAAATAGCTGCATGGCTCCCACTCCTGTGAGTTTAATGATCATGTAGCTAAAACTACTTCTAACTTTCTAGCTTTCTTAAAAGGTTTGGGATGTCAGTTCATTCTGGACCAATTTATTGCCACTAAAAGTAGTTGCATGTATTTACTTTGTTGTTCTAATACCATGTTCTCTTCCTCTTTGAGGCCTCTGTGTCTAGAACAATGTTTTGTTGGAGGAATGAATGAATGAATGAATGAATGAATGAATGAATGGGTGAACATTTTAAATTATGAAAGAATAATGCATGAGATGTTAATTGTGAGCATTAGCCCATATAAACACAGGTTCTACATCATTGGCTGTTAGTAATAGATTTCACTATAGGATTAATTCCCTATTATAAATATCAATATAAATTTCAGGAAATTAACAAGATAATAGAGATAAAAATGATTAAAACAGTCCAAGAAGTCTTGACCAATGTCATGATATTCTGCCATTTTGTTGCATTTAATTATCCCACTGAAACATTTCATAAAAACCCTGGGATTCAAAAATAATCTGCGAGTATGAGCTAAACTAAGGCAAATTAATTTAAAGGCAGCTACACCAATAACTACCTAGGCCACCTGTGTTGTGTTTATCCTTTCAAGTCACAGCCTAACCCATACTACCATTTTGCAAATAAGCCTCCTTGGTCACAAGTGGGCCTAAACAATAAACTGAATGGTTCAGTTGGTGACAGTTCAAAGTATCTATCCTCTTGGATCAGGAGGACATCTAGCATGGCACCTCTGCTTCATTCATTTCCTCATTTCATTCATGCCACAAGGCCTTCAGGAATACCTTCTATGGCCCAGAGCATACAGAGGTGAATAAAACAGACATGGTGCCTACTTTCATTTTTTTTTTTTTTTTCAGAAAATTCAAATGAAAAGTTACGTATTTTTATTTAAAAATCAGAATTTCATATATTTTTTTTTATCACATTTTGTTCCCAAACGAAGGTTTTAGAGAGGCAGTGAGTCCAAACTGTGCCCACACTTGCACAGAGCAGAGTACTTTCCATTCCTAGAGGGCTGCTGACACTGTCTGAAGAGCATATGTCGACCAGAAGTAGGTCACTCGTCCCTTCGAACGTGTGCACATGTGAGCTTCTCGCTGTGATCGCCAGCGATGTGCACACTCCACATAAACAGGGCGAGGCGTGTGGGCAGGGTGAGCCCTGCCGGGGCTGCCTGGGACCTGGGCATTCCCCTGTGTCACTCATGGAATGTGTGAAGTAACACAGGCCTCAGCCTCTGCATTTTCTCTTTCATCTCCTAATGGAGGCTTCAGAACAGTGTTCTGGTCCGTCCCCCTGTGCCAAAAAACATATTATTTTGTGCATGACTTATACATATATATTTTCTTTATTGCATGTATGCCTTAGAAATAATATCATGTGTGTTATCAAAACCTGAAGAGACAGTGGTAGTGTTTACTACAGCAGCCTATGAGAGAGAAAATTCCAGTGTAGTCAAGAATATTTCTATTGTTTGGCTTTGGACAAGTAAGTATGACCCTTTATATTATCGCAGGCTTGCTTTGTTTCATTAGTCACAGGGTTTTTCTCATAAAGACAATGTCCACTTTTCCTGAGAAATGATTCCCTGAACAAATGTATTATGGAAATATGTTACTTATGGAGATCATTTAGACCAAGTATTACAACTTGTGGACAAATGTGGACACTTGAGTCTACGTTGTCTCTAATGGAACTAGTGGCTGTAATGTGCTGGTAGGAAATTTTAGATTCCTGAGATAGCTTCTGTTTCTGTTCATAATTCTTACTCAGAAAATAACCTCCCATGACAAGTGTTCTGGAGACCTACCACCGAAAAACACCAGCCCTCGTTATTATCGTCTGCCGTGTATTCATTCTATATTTTAAAATTTACTTTTATAGGGCATTTTTTTAGGTGGTTGATACCCTAGTTTTTCATTTGATGAAGGAGATACGAAATGCATGAAAAGTGTTCATCAGCTGCGATTTGTGAGACAAAAGGAACCAGCGCTGGTCTTTCTAATTGACTAGCCTGATGTCCTTCTCTCTGTCCTATTGCCGTTAATTGACTATATTGTTTTAGATTTATGCATTAAAAATACGATTTCTACTTTGGAGGGATCACTTTGTTACTTTGTAGCTTTTAAGCTGATGCCATGAACTTATTTTTCTTCTAAGATAAAGTCTCATCTATAGATTTTTCAACTAATTACATGTCTGCCAATACATACTTAGAGGATACATTTTATTTCAATTTATTGTTTGTGTTTACATCGTGTGTCCCTGGAAATTGCTGTGGAACTGAAAGGAAATGTTTTAATGGTGTTTATTACTACTTTTTCATCACGCTTTCTGTTCTCCCCGTCTCTCTCTCTTTTTAATAGCTTCAGCCAGTCTGGTCAAGCATGGCAGCAACTCGAACTCGGCAAACTTCCAAGACACTGAGGACATGCCTGACAGATGTGTCGTGAAAGAGTCTGAGAGTCCAGGTGAAAGCCATTTAAAAATAGTCAAGTATAAAATGATAAATTTGACACAGCTTTGGGGTCCTTGGAAGGGGGTGGGGAGAAAGGACATTGTAATGCTGTTTTCTCTTAGCAGCTGCCCTGTCAAATTAATGGTCACCTCCAGGGGTCACAGTGTGGAGCTGTTATCTTTTCCTCTTTCATCAAGAATTCAGTTGGAGGAAGTACAAAGGCTTTATGACTGAAAGGGGAAGCTGACACTATTAGTTCATTATCACCAGTTTTAGGCTAAACTGGTTAATAGAGGCAGAGATTGGAAATGGAAGAAATGGCAATATTTTCAATATTTCAAATAATTGGATCCAGTGGAAATGGACACATTAGAGACAAAAGAGGTGCAAATTGTCATCATTGCAATCTATTTACCTTTCTAAATACAAATAGGACACTACCTGTGATGAGAGGATTTTCACGTAACAGTAACGAACTAATGGATGTTGTCAACGGTTTAGGAAAAAAGAAAATAATAACCCTTCTTCACAAACTAAAATTGACCCAGCGTCCAAGTTACTTATGTTTGTATTTTCTTTGTAGAAAGAATAGACAGAAATGTACTGGGAAAATGTGGCCAGGAACACTTAAGCACTGATTTCTGTTTCTGTTTTTGTTGTCTTTTGAAGCATGCCTAGTTTTAACAACTAAGTAGCTAAAAGAAAAAAAATATATATCTTGTGAATGTTGAATGGCATTCCTGGATCACTACAAAGCCACGAAGTGCTAAAAGGTACCTTATTATTATGAATGAAAGAGTTAACTATCTTCCCCCCACCAAACATTTTTCTTTCCTATTTTCTCTGGCTGCTGTGTACCCTCTACCCTCATGCATCTTTGTGTGCTGATCCACGTATCAGATTTTTGATTCATCCTCTCTGTGGCCTGTCAGCTTAGTTAAGAGATTTCCAAATCTTGTAGCCTTCGCTGACAGGGGGCAGCTGCAAACAGTCCCCTGATCCTTCCCGGAGGAGAGCTACTGAGATTTAATTTTCAGTGAAAGGTGCAGCCTGCAATCTATGTCAGGTCCCCTAAGTCATCTCGGAACCCCAACAGGCCCAGTGGCGATGGCATTGTATTTCAGTCCCTCCACTCCACGAAGATCTCTCAGAAGATGGGCTGCGGCTGTGTGTCTGTTCTCAGCCTCACTTCTGCTTTCCCGCAAGACTGAGAAATGGCATCTTTAGCAATGACAGAAATTTTTAATCGACACGTTGAATCTGTCCCCTGCCATAATATCTGAAAGACAAGTGGAGCTCAATCCCACTCTAAAAAGGAGAGGACAGTGGACGCATTAAAGTTCTAAAATTAGAAATTAATTTCTAAAAAGAATTCAAAATCACTTTTTGTATTGACTCAAATCGCCTAATTTTCACCAGGTTTTTAAACTGTCTTAATAACTGGTTTTCTATCAACCATTTAGTCGGGCAGTTAAATCCATGAGTCACGTCTTTACCTAAGCGTTCACTGCTTTGGCACCAATAGGTCCACTTTATACCATTTCAAGGGCTGAACAAATGTCCACCATCCCTCAATATGAAATTGTGTGAGATTCAAATTTAATATAGTCAACTTGGATTGATAGAGACAAAAGGATGTATCAAAACAGGAAGATTAATTAGAAAATAGAGGTGCTGATAAAGAATCTTAACTTACAAAGTGAGTACTGTTCTGTACATCGGACATCATTAAACTGGTAATAAAGAATGAATTACTCTGGCTTTTTCCTCTGTCCATTCCTGCATTTTAAGACATCTTGCCTTATAGGCCTGGAAACCTCTGGAGAGTTCACTACTGGTCTCACTGCCTTCCACTGAGAATTTGTGGCTTGGTTGTCATGGAGACATCGTATTTCTCCAAGAATTTCTCATATTGATCCGTGGCCAGGCGTAAATGGCCAGGCAAGTGTGAGGAATAAAGGGGGCTGGGCAGTCCTGTAAAATGACCAGGGCTTGGGGGTTGGAAATAAGCTCATTGCAAACACTTAGGTAAAAAGAAAGAAGCAGTTTTATTTTGTTTCAGGATTTCTCTCCGCACTTTGGGCCATTGTCTTCTTTCACTATGAACTGAAAGAAACTTGTTAGTCACTTGTCATGTCAGATCTTTGGTGCTTGTCCTGACACAGCTGTCAGCCTTCTAGCTCGGTGCAGTTCAGGGACACACAACAAAGAGGCAATGACATGAATTATTTATTGCTCCTTGTGTGGATAAAATTCTGTGATAAGAAATTAAGACACTTCTGACAGAGGTGCTTGTTTAGTAAGAAAGATTTTGATGAGAGAGTGCATTTTTTTTTTTTCTGAAGTATGAGCATCTGAGAGGCAAAATTCTTAAAACTGAACATGAAGGAAGATATGTGAAATTGGTGGTATAAAGGGACTTTGTGGGACTGTGAAAATATGACTGTATACTTCTCAATGTCCAAAAATTAACTTCAAAATATGAAGTCATTCGAATATAGGGGTTCCATAACTGGAAATATTACTTCGGTGGTTTAGTTACCTCTTTTTACCATGTAAGAGGGGTGTTTCTTTGGAAACTATATTAAACCGCCTTTGTTAAAAGAAAAAAAATATTGGGGGTTTTAAGTGATAAGCTTTGGGAAGATATCTTTAGACCAATACACGTACTACAGTAGCTAAAATCATAACTGCATTAATATATTTGTTACTCCTTGTATAGAAGGAAGTGAATTTCTATCATAAATGCTTCATTCTTACTATTTTCACCTAGAATATCATCACACATTTAAAATTCCTTTTATTATTTCCATGTACATGAAAATTCCCCAGTTACAAAGTTGAATGTGGTCAGGCTTCAAGTTTTAATGCATATTGACCTTATATAGTTGTATCTTTGCAACTGTAAATGACTAATATATTTATTACATCATTTTTAATAAACAGACCCATTGTTTGAACAGCATATAGATACTGAAAACAAAAAATCATCTTCCCATTTAAGCACAATTGAAGAATATCATCTCATATATTGTTCTTTCCAAATAAAGGCTTTTCTTTGTCAATCCTCTAAATGTCATTTTACTTCAGCTTTTCTAGCTTCATATTGCTGATCCCAACTCATTTGCATAGGCACAGTCCAAAGGGGCATTGAAACATAGAAAACGAAAGTAACTTTTCTAAAAGGTGAAGTTGAAGTTTTTAAAACATTGATAGAACATTTTGAAATGTGTATCAAACAGTAAGATTGACTTGGTAGATCGATTATATTTGAATACAGTGGGCTTTGAACTTCCCCTGTAGAGTGTTATTTTTCCACTGGCAAACCGTTCTCCGGCCCAGCTAGACCGGGATGACCCATTTGTAAATGGGCCGGAGTGTGCATATAGGTCACAATTTAGAGGCCTGGGGCCGTGGTCACTCACCTGGTCTCCAGAGCGCTCTACCTTATTCATCGTGCCACTGTGACCTCTTTATTGGTTCAAGCTGTATACCCAGGTGAGCGCCTGAAGTCCATTAAGGTTGGCAAAGCAACTTTAGACCAAAGCATTCTTGTTACTCTGACCCTGCTCGTGAACCTGGAGGTCTCGTCTGATAGGTTAAGGTCTCCCTTGGCTGTGTCTTTCCTCTGGAATAATTCATTAGCAAAGAGTTTTGCCTCACAGGTGAATCCCAGATTGAAGTTTCTGGCTTAGACTCTGTGAGGTCTACTTTCTTCTTCACTGGCGTTGATACACTCCTGAAACCCGTGGGGATAGCTGGCATGGCTGGTAATAGAATCCCTGAGACAACATCATGAACTTGCAGCGTTTTTGAGACTTTAGGCCCATTAGGCTTTCTTTCTTTGGCTCTTCAAGGCCTGGTCGCTTCTGAGTCTGAAAGATGCTATCACGAAAATAGTTCAGTGTAGTCCTGTGCTGGTTAACTTCCTGTTAACTGTTTCATGCGGTGATTAAAGCTCAAGTCCCGTTCTCTAGGATATAATAAAAAGTCCTTCTTGCCCATTATCTTTGCACTCATGATGATAAAAAATTTAATGGGACATTCCCAATTTTTGTCCAGCTGTTAATGAGACCTTGAACTTTTGCCACCTTATTTTGGCTTGGAAAATTAAGAATGTTTCTTCCTAATGCACTAGGGACAGTACACATACATGTAGCTTTAGCTGAATAGAGTAGGGACGAGAGAGCTTGAAAGGACCAAAAAAAAGCATTCAGATAAGCATTTTCATGTCATTCTGAAGTAATTTATAATCAGTATGCATTCTGCCGTTAATAGAACATTTTAGTGGTTTTTATATAGCACGTTATGTGTGTAGATCTATATACATCATTGTCAATCAATATTGCATTTGCATGAATCTGGTGAACAAAACTGGATTTCTCACAGTTTCCAGGGGATACTACATTGTGAAAAGCTAAGGTGAATTTTTTTTTTTTTTCTTTTACTATTCTGGCTCATGAATCACCAGCAGAAATCAGGTAACAGAAAGTAGGACAGATTCAGGACTGGAGTGCTGGAGATGGCTGATGATGATGCATGAAGGAGAAAAATGTGGAATGTGTGAGCAGCCCATCAATCATAGCCTCTGAGAACACACTCCTTATGGTTACTGGGGGAAAAAACGTTCTAGAAGGAGTAAGAACAATTTCAATAGTAAAACAAACAAACAAACAAAAAACCTCTTAACTCCTTCTAGTTGTGTTTAATAATATCAACATATTTTTTTAAATTCACCAAAAGGGACAAATTTAAGCATCACCTAATAACTTTAAAATTATGTAAAATTCTAGGCTAATATATTATTAGATATAGTACATATTATGCAATATTGAATACTGGTTTAACTAAGCCAAATAATCAGGTATTTTAGTTTTTGCCAGTAGGAGTGAGAGTTACTATGTATGGTTACATCATTAATATAAATGTGTTCAGAAGTAGTTAATTAAGGCACAATGTGTTAATTTGATAATCAAATTAATTCAAAGCAAGTGATATTTTTTAGACTACAATAAGAATCATCCAAATAGTGGGCTTTTTTTCTATTCTATAATTCAAATTATATTTCAACTCACATTTAAACATTTGACCCTAAAACTGTAGTGTGGGTTTTTCTAAAAATAATTCAACTCCTTGAAATTTATGAAAATTTACTAATGTTAAACCTAATTCATCTTGTTGGAAACTTTCAGCTATTTTTGGCAATGAAAAACAAACAGCCTATATTAATAATGTGTGCAATTAAAATAGATTTACCTGGGGCCTGGTTTATAAGACAATAGTATTTTATGATAGTAGCATATTTTATTTCAGGATAGAAAAAAAATGCAGAAATTATGAGTAATTTCTTCCTTTTCTTCCTTCCTTCCTTCCTTTGTTCCTATCTTCAGTTCTTTTCTCATTCTTTCTTTCCTTTTATTCTTCTCTCTCTTCCTCCTTTCCTCTCTCTTCCTTCTGCCCTTCTTTTTTCTTTCCTTATTTCATCATATAATGCAAGATCATTCGTTTTCTTTCTAGGTGAGCCAAGGCATCGTTCATGGATAGCAAAGATGTGCTTCTGTAAGCTGTGCTAAATGAAATCTCATCCATAAGAACTGGATGTGGACAAATAAGAAACCCAAAACATGCCATTTGTTTATCGTTGTATGTATGTTGTTCTTGATCAAAACATTAGGTTGAGTAGATTTGCTAATACTTTAGCCAGAATATATTGAAAGTGTAATTACTGATAGAAAATATCTATATTTAGAAAATTGTTGTTTAATTCATCCTATACTCCTATTTCTTCCTTTTATTTTAACATTTTCAACAAGAAATGCCAGCCCACAGACATAAACTTAACACCATTTTAGATCCCCCCTCATCTTTTCTATTCCTGAATTATATAATAAGCAACATTAAAAACCACATTGCTTTTAAACAATATAACACACAATGCTCTTAAATCGAATATTGCTTCAATATATTTAATCTAAAACTTTACCATATTTGTTTGATCTGTTAGGTTAGAACATTTTGTTTTAGTAGATGCTTTAATTCAGATCAATCACCCTGCAGTAAATCTAATCCCTAAGGATGAAATGTTGTCAACAAACAGCCAGTTCTATTTAGTCATCAATTAGCCCAAATAAGTGATACAGAGTATAATAGGGACCAATCTTGTGCAGTTAAGTTAATTCGGATTTCTAATAACATAGAAGCTAATGTCTTTAGCTAAGGTTGATCTCATTGGCCACATAGATGTGAATTAGGGAAAGGGACCCTACTTACAGCACATCACGACGGATCCTTATGAAGTATAAACTCTTGTAGTTCTTTTCCCAGAAAGAAGCTTGACTAGCAGGAATTCTTAAACTAAAATATGCAAAGCAACATAAAGAGGAACAGATATAATGTGCTCATCTATTAAGGCCCTTAGCAATCTGATTTATTTGCTGTGGTTTATATTGTGTGTTATTCCCTTTTCAAAGAAGAATAAAAATAAGTTTAAATCATTACCAAATTAAACATTTTTTTAGGTCTAAGGAAACCAATACTAGAACCTTGAAAAATATTTTATGATGTCACTAACTGCAGGAAATTAGAACTGACATAATCCTGACATTAATAAATGAGAATTTTTGGCATCATTTTGTAGTTGCTAAAATTAATAATTCACATTACATGGCTAATTAAAATACTGTATCAATATGAATTTTGGAGGCCAATACCATTAACTATCAAAAAATTTAATTCCTAAAAATGTGAGTTTTAGAGAGACAGATTTAAATAATATTCCCTAATACCCATGTGTAAATTGTTGATTAAACAAATTTAGTCTCTTTAAAAATTGTTTTTTTATATTGACTTACATTCAACATCTTAGTAATTTCTGTTGCAAGAAGAACCTAAAATAGCAAGTTGTCAGACAATTAACTGGATCAACCACATGGTGACCCTAACCACAGCTAGAAACTCAGAACATGATTACGTGTTTGTCGTTTTTGATGGCCTCGCCTTAAGTAGCCAGTGGAGGAACTGTCTCAGTGAACAAACTGATTTGAATCCAGTCTTCCTTGTCATTGTAATAAATGAGACATTAAAAACAATCTTGTGCTTCTTTTTTGACAATAATCTTGGGATGTTTATGAGAATACATTTTCCTCCAAGGAATATCTTATTTTCAAATTTGCAAGCGAGACTTCTGTTGTTCATCGTTGAGTCACACACCGGCTGTACGACCGAGGAAAGAAGCTGGGAAGGATGCAGGGCTCAGGGCCGAGCTCCACTGCCAGGTGTCCCGCCAGGTGTCCCGCCAGCCCTCCTCGCTGGGCTTCTGGGAGCCCGGCTTCCCCATCCGCATCCGCGGAGCGACTTCCTCGCAGGTCTGTGCAGAAACGCCCCACGGGATGGTGTTTGGAAAGCGATCTGAACATTGTCAGGTACTTCAAGTATCAGGGAAACTTCATAGTATTAGAAATACAACTACCGAGGAAGCCTTAGGCCTGAAACATTCTGTTACTATTCTAGAAAGTAAGGGAAGACTACTTTGAACATGTCACATTAGAAAAATGATAAGAAAACACTTTGCTAAATATTAACATTCTATTGAGATGGTAGTATTTTGGGGTAATTTTCATTTATTTCCTTGTACATTTTTCTCCAATGTGCTTTTTCTTTTTTTAAACCTTTTATAATTACTCAAAAATAATGTTTCTCTTTAATCTTTAGAGGGCATATTATAATAATTGAATTGTTTTAAAAAGTTTTATGCCATGTATATAAAGGGAAGGCTGAGCAGGCATTAATCCCATTGATTTTAAAGTCTTATTTTTACAGAATGGACCATTCATGTAATTTTTAAAATTTTATATTGCATACATTTTGATTTTACAGTTATCTAAAAAGCAATGCTATATACGCTTTGATTCTACACAAAATGTTGTTTTATGGGTAAAGTGCCCGAAGTGGTGTCTAGTCACGTAAGAAAAGCATTGCTTTGCAACTCTACATAGTGAGCACTGTAAAATACTTTCAAAATTAGCTGTAACCAAAGAGTTGCAAAGTTAAAACTTTCTTGAGCAGCTGTCTTTCTGGTGAAGTTCCATGTACAGTGAGTGGTTCCCAGACCACTCTGCTGTGATTTCATCAACAAGGACATGAGAGAAGGCATGAAGAAAAAGACATAAACTGAAATTAAAGTTTCCCAGAAAGAGCATGCCACTGGAAACCCTCATCCAGTCTCTGACCCCTAGAAGACAGCATGCGTCGTTTTATTTCATTGGCAGGGCAGGGACTCAGGGGACACCTGTCCAGGCTCAACTTCAGCTCCTCTCTCCCTCATTCCAAACTTCTCAGGTCCCATCTTTATTTAAAAATTTGACATCATGGATTTTTTTTTTTGCATTAATTTGATTTTCATTAATACTGTATTCAAATATAGGTATCTTGATTACTGAGTTTTTGCCACCCTTTAGTCTTAGGCTCTATTAAGTCTGGGCAAACCTCACCTTTATCTCAGAGAGCATACTGCAGGTAAACAGACTGACCATTGCATCATTATGAGCATGTTTGTAAGGATACAAATGGTAACAACTCTTTTTTTAATACCTTGTGAAAACTAAAGCCACAAACCACTGAAAATGTTTAAAATGGCTTCTGTTGGTGTTTAGGGGGAAATATATGGTTCTTTCTTTTGACATTGTTTCTCCAAATGCCTTTTTTTCAATACACAGAGCATGTTTTTATATCATCAATTTTAGGGATCCTTTCTGTCTTCAACACACTACTAACTGGAAAAGGTAGCAGTGATTTTTTTTTTTTTCTACTTAAAGATACAAGGTTTTTAATAATTAGTACTGATTTAGTACAACACTGTGCCTAAATCACAAAGCGCCGTATGCCTGCAAAACACCAATATTCATAACATTATGCAACAGCAATAATCAGTTGGTACATGCTTACAAAGCCTATCATTTATTCACTTAACATCTATTTTAATTGCTATTATCTGTAAAGTCATCAATCAGCTTTTCGATCTTGCATGTGTGTTTTCTAGGGAGAAGGCATTTTCACACAGCCTCGGTAACAGCATCGTGGCCTCCGATGATGCCATCTCAGATAAAAGGACAGTCTATGATGTGTTCTTGACGCATCACAAGTTTCCTTTCGACTTTCAAAGAGATTTCCTGTTAATTCTGCAGCGGCAACCACATTTCCTATCAGAAGTAACCTCTCTTATCTATATCAACGTGATTCTTACATTTATGTTATCTCCATTTACATCAATTTACAGTTACAATCAACTGAAGAAACGCTCTGTAATTTAATCTTTCCTTTTGTATTTTAAAGCCTGCCAGGAAAACAAACAAAACTCCTATCCCGCAGTGACATTAAGAGCTTTTGTCCTCTCCCTGAGACAGGCATAGCCACAGGCATCGAGTTACACTTTGGATTGTTTTTATGATAAGGAAGATTTTCTTGGATCTGCCTCTATTTCAAATAATTTGTGTATCCCCCCCCAATCTAAGCAAAATCAATCGGTCCAATTTCTGCAAGCACTCGAGACAGGAAGTGAGGTGAAAATAACAAATACTATCATTTTAATGGTCATTGGAATAGTCAAATTAAAGAAACAAATTAGGGGATTTCTAAAGTATGTTTTCATAGAACATATACTGCAACCAGCCTGTCCAGAAAGGTGTTGGGCTTTGTCTGTAGTCTTCCGGCCAGGTAGGTGGCAGCAACACTCAAGGCTAGAAATTTCCTTTCGTGTTCTCTTAGCTCTAGCCCAGAGCATATCCTTACAACACGTCTTTGTGGAAGAGAAAAGGTTTAAAGTGTAGAGACAGATTTCTCTATGTCCTCACATATCTCTAAAGCACTATTTTAAGGCTGTGCTAAAGCGGTTCCCATGATGGGAAAACATTCATCATTTCCCTTAATACAGAAGTCATATTCCGCTCTCGTACATGTTGGTAGTATTAGGTTTCTGTTTCTTTATTTACTAGGATCTTACTTATTTACCATTTCTCAGGCTAAAGCCTTTTTCTGACGAGAAAAGGAAGAACATTCTGCTTCAAACCATCGACACCTGGGAAATAGTAAAAGCCTGTCCCTTTAATCTTTGTACACAACTAAGAAACCAGGATATTTAATAAAGGTGGACAGATTTTTCTTTCAATCTTCCAAATGAAAACATTTTCTCTGATTGTTCTAACTGGAGGTGACTCTGTTCCAGTTAGTTCTGTTTGCAAATCAAATGAAGTCCAAGCAGAGAGGCCAAAGACAGACAGGACAGGGACCCTAACGCTGAGGGCATTGAGCTGTTTGGTGGAAATGGGTCCCGGCCTTTTGAAAGCCATTGCTCCGGAACCCAGGCAGAAGTGAAACCTACAGGCCCACCTTTATGCAAATATATTTTCCCTTCCTTAGTATTGGAAACTGATGAGCAGTAAGCTTTTCTTCAATTCCTGGCATTTTGCTAGGATACAGACATATTATAGAAAACAGGCAGCTTTTGTGAAGGAATCTTCAGTGTGTTCTTTTTACATTGGGTTGGTCATTATGTCCAAAATGCCAGGAGAATAGACAG